GAGTAGCGGCATAGTGCTGCTCACCTTTCGCCTCATGAGTAGTTGTTCTCAGCACGTCCGCTCCATTGCCGGGCGAACATTTTTTTTTATGAGTCAGTCGTATTTCAAGTGGAACCGATCTCTTGCACGAATGAAGTCACTCACTGCCAACGCGTTGGTGTCTGTGGCGGAGTCAAAGACGCGTGATCTTCGCCTGGCAGGACGTTTCATTGAGTTTCAGTTTGATGATTTGTTTGAGAAGGCCCATCGAGAGGAGGAATACTTTAGGGCACCGTCGCAGGACTACGACACACGGTACGAGAGCGACTCTAACCAGAGCTGCGGGAACTCCGGCGTGACGTACCGTTACGACGTGGATCCCTTGTTTCTCTCCGTGCAGCGCCGTCTCTCCGTCTCACAGTACCTGCTGGAGAGAGAAAAGAAGGAGCAGGGTAAGAACAAGCACGCTGGTGAAGAAATTACAGGAACTTGTCAGGGCACTGATAAAACTCCGCCACGGTTCCATGAAGAGTTCACCGCCATGTCCGAGACAGCGCTCAGTCTCTTTCGCGACGTTTTACGTTTGCAGATGGAAGACTCGATGCGATTTAAGGAGGCCAAGGTGTTTGCTTATTTTGAGGTGGTGCGGAACTTTCTTCGACAAAATGCTCTTCGAGAGGTTCTGAATTGGCTTCACCGCCTTCACAACACACACAAAGCCAACAGTGATATGGCGGAGGCAGGGTTGGTGTTATTTTTTATTGCCGCATTGTGCTTCCGTGTGACGGAGATGTTTTACGTTCTCAAGGGAAAAGACTCTCGAGGTGCACGTATGCCTTTTGGGCTTTTGACATATGTCTTTTGGCATGACTACGTGCGTGTGTTACCGGAGGTGGATGTTTTGCTACCTGTTGACACGATCTATGCCATTGTGTCTGAACTTTACGTCTGCCCAGATGAGGCCTGCTTTTCCGCTGAGGGGCAAATAAAGTCGTTGAGGGAGGCAGCGGAGCACCTTGAGAAGGACCAGTACTACGAGCTCGCGATTGGTGCGGTTGCCATCGCTGACAAGTATCTCCGCGCCATTGGTGACTACAAGGGGGCGGCGCTAGTGCACACGGCGATGGGCACGTGGTGCACGGCCATTGCCCAGCAAAGCAGGCGGCGAAACCATCGCTACTTTCTCCTGTGGGCCCGTATGGAGCGTGAGGAGCGCCGAAGGACACGGCGGGAGCTGCAGGAAGAAGACATTTTGTTGGGCGAGCGGCCGCGAGGGCTGCCGGCTGGTCGGGCCATTAAACGCGTCTACAAGATGTCACCCGAAACTTCACTGAAGGAATTCAAAGAGTACGCCAAGGAGTTCATTACTTCCCTCCTTCAGGATGCGAATCTCGTTGTTTTAACGGATGATCTCGTGGATACCCTTCCGGCGCCACCAGAGCCAACATCGAAGAAGAAGCGTGTGGCTTCTCTTCATCAACCACCAAACCATTGTTGGGTTACCGTCTGTGAGGTGCACGCGAACGTTGCGAAGGGTGAGCCGGCACCCCCCGACGGCTTTGACAGGTCTGTTCAAATCAAGAAGTTCGAGAGTATTTTGTATGTCCACACAAAGCCGGAAGCCGCCGGACCAAGAACGATTGATGTTATGAATCAGCGCATGTCTATAAACATATATGAGCTGGACCGTGCCTTTCCATCAACGACGAGCGCCATTGATGTTTGTAAAGTGGACACTTCATTTCTGAATGCTTATGAAACGGCAAGAGAGACTTTAAAACAACGTACGGATGCCATTGCACGGGCACCTGCAAACGAAACGCTCATCACGGTACTGCGGGAGGCACTTTCACCAATGGGGATCACACCTCCGGGCGCATATGTGAAGGAAATTATTGCCGTCATGGGCAACAACAGCGATGTTATTGATGCGGTCAAGTTACTTAGCACGACTGCGCGGAAAAAATTGTCGGTGTGCGAAAAGCAAGGCGTACTCGTAACGCGTCCCGAAGAGTACGCACTTGTATTGAAGGCCGTGACGGATATCGAGTGCTGCCTTATTGCCATGGAGGATGCACCCCGTGAGCAAGATGAGTAAGTTAGATAGAGAATAAAAATTACCAAAAAAAGGACGAGACGTGGGTGTCTGCAGTGGGGGGAGTAGGCGGAGAGGAAACAAATGCCATACAGAACCACGGGAGAATGGAAAACCAAAAAAAAAAAAAAAAAAAAAAAAAGGAAGTAGGAAGGGAAGAGAGAAAGGAGAGGGACGAGGAAACCATTGTCATATGAGAGAGAGTGAATGGGAGTGGGTGGGTGCCGGATTGGGTGTATGCACACACATATATATATATATATTATAAGAGTATGTGCCTATTTTCCGGGGTGAAGTTAGTACGTAGAAGAATAAGTATCTGCAGATGTATTTAGGCAAAAAAAAAAAAAAGTCTGGATTGATTGCTTTTTTTTTTTTTTTTTCAAGGACGGAACAAATCTACGAGTGCGAATCTCTTTTTACTTTTCAATTTTTTTTTTTTTTTTTTCTACATTGTTTTTGTGCCCATCTCTCTCTCTCTCTCTCTGTGTGTGTGTGTGTGTGTGTGTACACGTAGCCAGGTTTACTCTCAGGCCGTTGAATTTGTTGGTGTTTGTCTGCATTTGAAGAAGACTCCTCCCCTTTGGGTTTGTTTAATTGAGTTGGTGGATACTGCGCCCTGTTTTGGTTCGTTTATCTTTTTTTTTTTCTCCCCTCTCTTTTCTCTTTTTTTTTTTTTTTTCGTCTTTTTTTTTTCTTGGCGTTTCGGTGCACAGCATGAGGTTGCTGAACCCCAGAAGCAAGAGTCAGAAGGAATGTTGCTCCGGAGTTGCGTCGATTTATTATTTTTTTCTCCACAACCCCCCCCCCCCCCCCCTCTCTCCTTTTTTTTTTTTTTGTTGTTTTGTTTTGTTCTGTACTTTTTGAGTGTTGCCTTCAGCCGCAGTGCTCATCCCCCTGTTTCTGTCCACGTATACTTGTGGGCTGCAGGCATTTGGTGTGCTTTCTTGGCTAAAAAGTTCTTTATTTTTTTTATTTTTTCTTACTGAACTCTTCACACGGGATTGTGACGGCAGAAGAGGAGTAAGGAAACAGCAAGGGAAGAGGATAGTGAAAAGGGGGCTGGTGGAGCAAAGGGGCGGGGATGTCGGCTCCATGCAATTTCAGCGACCAGATCACTGGCGAGGTGGTTGTGCCGTCATCGTGGCGTAAAGAGGCCATATGTATTGATGCAACATGCCAGACTGGGCCGCTCAGCCTGCGTGAAGAGGCGGTGCAGACGACCATAAGTGCGCTGCAAGTAGTCAACAGGCTTGACAAGCAGGTGGGACATGAGAAGAAGACGATTCAAGCTACTTTGGATGGTCTTCAGTACGTGTACGCGGGGGTGGAGTTTGACGAGGAAAAACTTGCCATGTTCTTGGAGGAATCTAAAGTTGATGTGCTGTCAATGTTGTACCGCAACGCAAAGAGTGGAGCATTCAGCAACTATGAGCCCAACTGGTCAGCAAAGGGCACTGAAGTTGTGCCTGTGGCCACACTTTCCTCGGCATATGCCGTGGAGGGTGAGCTGCATGTGCTGTCGCTCAGCTGGAATTCAGCTGGTACACTGCTTGCGGTGGCATATGGCCGCATGGACACAGCGGGATGGTGCTACAGCAGTGGCGTTGTGGGCATCTGGAATTTGGCGCGCCCAGACATGGATGTGAATGCACCGCATCACACATTAGAGATGAATTTGTTTGCCACCTGCGTCGCGTTTCACCCAACTCAGGCGTCTGTTCTTGCAGTGGGTCTGTACAGCGGCGAGGTGATTGTATACTCCGAAGTGGGAAGTGCGATCCCGACGGAGATGTCAACGAGTGGATCGCCGCTCTCGCACAGAGAGCCAGTCTCCTCGTTGCAATGGATCCAAAGTCTGCAGGAGATGCGTGAATCTCACCGATTTATCCTCTGCTCCTCTGCGCAAGACGGCCGCATTTTTTTCTGGACCCCAACAAACAAGCTGTCGCAGCCAATTGCCGCTTTTTCTGTGGAAAACAAAAAAGGTGTCACCGTCGGTGTGCAGTCGGTCAAATTTGCACGTCCTGGTGGGGGAATTGGCGCGGGTGTTCCATCAGGCGACAGCCCGCTTATCATTGGCCTTGAAAATGGAGATGTCGGCCGAGCTCGACCAGGTGTGGTGAGTGTGTTGGTTCCACGCAGCAGCGAAAATTTGGCGTCATTGGATGTGGATTGGCTCAACGGCCACAGGGGGCCGGTGCAGAACGTTGACACATCACCTTTTTTCCACAACTTGTGCCTTACGTGCTCCTCCGATGGCAGCGTCCATTTTTACAACGCGTTGGAGCGTTCTCCGCTGGCGACTCTGGAGCCCTCGGCGGAGACGAAACACTTTCTGTACGCGGCACAATTTAGCCCCTTCCGCCCCAGCGTTCTTGCGGTGGTGTCGCGGAGCTCGTTTCTGCACATTTATGATCTTCAAAAGTCGCAGTTGAAACCTATCGCTTCAATAGAAGCCGGTGTTGATGGCGCGCCGGTGTTATGCTTGGCATTCAATCACGTCTCGCCTGAGTGGCTGGCTACTGGGGATGCACGGGGTTGTGTGCGTCTTTGGCGACTGCCATCTACCCTCATTCAGACGACCGACTTGGAGCGTGCGGCCGTTCGTGGCAGCCACAGCCGGGAAAGTGGAGAGAATGTGGTGCGCTCGCTGTGGGGGTTTGCGCCGTAAATCCACTTTTTGTTTTGTTTATTGGCGCTGTTAGTTTGGTCAAGTTGCGGCGACCGACGCGGGTTATTTCATTCTTTCTTTTCTCTCTCCTGCTTCAGACGCCGGGGCTATTTTTTTTTTTTCTTTTTTTCTTTTGTGTTTGCTTCAAGTGCCAGCACGGATTCGTCCATGGCGTATCTGCGCCTTCAAATAGCCGTTGTTGGCGCACCAGCAGTCGGTAAGTCGGCGTTTGTGCAGATGATACACAGCAATGGCATGACCTTTCCAAGGAACTACCTGATGACGACAGGCTGTGACTTTGTTGTGAAGGAGGTGCAAGTGGACGACGAAAACACGGTTGAAATGCTCATCTTTGACATCGCGGGGCAGAAGGAGTACGAGACAATGGTCGCCACGCACGTGGAGCATGCGGCCGCGTTTATCCTCATGTACGACGTGTCGAATAAAGTGACATTTGAGGCCTGCACGCGGTGGATGAATGCACTGAAGCATGCGAACAGTGGCATGATCGGATTCCTCATAGCAAACAAGATGGACCTTGCCGACAAGGCGGAAGTGACGGAGCGCCAGGGCACAAGCCTCGCGAGCGCCAATCAGATGAAATTTTACAAGTGCTCAGCGTTGCGCGGGGTGGGGGTTCGCGAGCCGATTGAAGATATCGCAAGGCTCTACGTTGACGCGTACCACAAGCGTATTGATCAGCTTTCCCAGATGAAGTAATCTGTCTTCTTATTGCGTTGGTTGGCGATGCGCGGTTTTTGGTGCCCCCACAACTTCAACGTGGATAAAAAATTTATTTATTTAGAAGCACAAGGGTGATGCAAGGATGAACACGGTTGCATTTTACTTTTGTAATCACGCAGACTCTCTGAAGATGGAGAGAGAAGGCAAGCGAGGCAGCAAACAAACGCACTCCCGAAGTACAGGAAAAAAAAAAAACAAAAGAAAAGGAGTGGGGGGAGGAGGATATCTTCTAGCAGCGTCCGCAAAAGGAATTGGAGAACGGTGAATAACAGGGTTGCTATTTTTGTGCGTGACTCTCCCGTTTTTTTTTTTTTTTTCCTTTTCTTTTCTTTTTGTCTTTGAGGTCTGAATGAAGGGCACATGAATGATTGACGACGAGGAAATATGTGAGCTCCTTCTCGCAGAGATCCGTGAGCGTTTCCCGCTGTATGAGTCGGTTATTGAGACGGTCGGCTCTTCGCGTGTGGTGACGTGCAACGCTACGGGTGGCGCCAAGGGCTTTTTGCCGTACCCGGTCGTTGAGCATGACGAGTTCACGTCGAAGAGTCTGCGAGACGTCGTGGATGTTGTGGATGCGTTGCGGCGCAGGGGTTGCGCGGAGGTATTTTTGGTTTTTGTGGACAGCGGCGGCTCCCTGACTTTTTACCGCACGAGCGCAGTGCGTGCGTGATGGGCAGCCAAACCCCCCAGCGCGAGAGACACGAGGGACCGGTGGAGGAGACACGCGAGGCGAGGCGGCACGGGAAAGAGGCGAGGGGTGGAGGAGCAGGCGAAGCGAAAAGTGGGGCGAAAAGGGAGATTGCGGCGGGTGTCACGTCTTTTATTTTTTTTTTTTTTTTCCGATGCAACTTGCCAACGGTGTGCTGAGTTGTGGCGTCTTTATTTTTGATTTGTCGTGACTTCCAGCCAAATTGTCTTCTTGCTTTTTTTTTTTTTTTTTTTTTTTTTTTTTTTTTTTTTTTTTTGTGATGTTGTTTGTTTTTCCCCAACCTAAAAAAAAAAAAAAAAAAAAAAAATTGGAGCTCGGTCACGGGTTTTCTCTTTGCGTGTGTGTGTGTGTGTGTGTATCGGAGGGGTTTAGGGAACAAAAAAGGAGCGAATGGAGGATCCCAGCTGGCGACGGAACTGCGATTTGCTCACAGATGCGCTCCAGTCACTGGAGCGTAGCACCTTGCAGATACGGCGCAGCGCCAACAAACTTACGACGCTGCGAGACATTGCGAGGGAGCGGGAGAGAGTGAAGCAGGTGACAGGCCGCACGAACGCCAAGGAGGTGCACGCCATACAGGATGCACTGGGACTCATGGAGAAGTACATGCGGCTTAACCCCGCTCAGCTGCGGGGCCAGGGCGTCAAGCTCACCACGGAGGCCAAGGTGGCCCTGGAGAAGTACCAGAAGTCTTGCGACGCATTCTACAGAAAATGCATCAGCGTCGAGGAGTCACTGCGCTCCGGTAGAGGTACCACGCGTGTGAAGATGCTATCGGGAACCCCGGCAAGCAGCGATGCCGAAGACGTGGATGAAACTAGTGATTTGCTTCAAAGGGGCGCAGCGGGTACCCTCACCCAGAAGGAAATGTTTGAACGTGACTTGCACGACGAGATCATGGCGGAGCGACGACGTGAAACCTCCGAGATTGCTGACAACGTGAAGGATATCAACGAGATATTCAATCATATTCATCTCATGGTGGAAGAGCAGGGGGACACTCTGGACATCATTGAGGGAAACGTTGGGGTGGCGCAACAGGCTACAAGAAACGCGGCGGACAGCTTGCGGCAGGCCCAGCGGTATCAGGAGAATCCGAGACGTAACAAATTCCTGCTGCTTCTTGTCCTTTTTCTAGCAGTCATAATTTTTATTACAGTGTTATTTCACTGAGTTGGGAGGGTATACATTTTGTCATGGAATTGTATTCAGCGGAATGGCAGGCTGGCGATGGTCCACCGTGTGGCTGCCGCTTGTCGCTTGCGGCGGATGTCTTCTCTTCCTTTTGCCGGGTTTTTTCTCTTCTTCACCCTTTTTTCTTTTTTTTTTTCTTTTTTTTTTTTTTTTTTTTGTCTCTCGTCTCGTGCGACCACGCGGTGGGATCGAAGGGTACGCCGAAAGGAAGGACCACAACAACAACAACGAAGAAAAAGAAGAAGCAGTCGAAAAAAAAAAAAAAAAAAAAAAGGGGAAGCGGAAGAACACGCGTAGAAAAAAAGAAAAAAAAAAGAAAAGAAAAGACTTAAGAACAAAACAAAGAGAAGAGAAAAAAAAAAAAAGAATTAAGCGGTGAGAAGGCGTTGAAATGACGAATGCGGTGGTGACTCCTTGGACAGTGGAGGGGGATGTGGATTACGACAAGCTCATCAAGGAATTTGGAAGCCATCCAATCGACACCGCGCTGCTTGAGCGGCTGGAGCGGGTCATTGGGAAGGAGCCGCACCACTTCCTCCGTCGAGGCATATTCTTTTCCCACCGTGACATGAATCTTTTGCTTGATGTGTATGAGTCGGGGCAGCCGTTTTACCTCTACACAGGGCGAGGCCCGAGCAGCGAATCGATGCACATGGGCCATTTAATTCCTTTTATTTTTACCAAGTGGTTGCAAGATGCGTTTAAAGTACCGCTTGTCATCCAAATGACCGACGATGAAAAGTTTTTTTTCCGCAACATTGACATGGAGCAGATCGAGAAAATGACGACAGAGAATATAAAAGACATTATAGCCATGGGGTTTGATCCGGAACTAACTTTTATATTCCGCGACTTTGATTACATGGGACAAATGTATCGCACCGTGGCGGAAATTGAGCGGGCGTTCACGGCGAGTCAAGTGCGAGGTTGTTTTGGGTTCAAAATGGAGGACAACTGTGGGCGTTGGATGTTTCCAGCGATTCAGGCCGCCCCGTCCTTTTCAGTGCCTTCCCGCACATATTCCCGCCGTCGAAGGGAAACGTGTTTTGCCTGATTCCGCAGGCCATTGATCAGGACCCGTACTTCCGCCTCACACGCGACATTGCCCCGCGCCTGGGTTTTTTAAAACCGGCAGTGATTCACTCAAAGTTTTTTCCCGGTCTCAGCGGCTCTAAGGGGAAGATGAGCTCTTCAACGGGAGCGGCGGTGCTTCTCACGGACACGGAGAAGATGGTGAAGGATAAAATTAACAAACACGCCTTTAGCGGGGGTGGCGCAACAAAGGAGGAGCAGCTTCTTCTTGGGGCGAACGCCGATGTGGACGTGCCTATTCAGTGGATGAGTTTCTTTATGGAGGATGATGAGTCACTTGCACGGATTCGAAAAGATTACATGCTTGGACGCATCATGACGGGGGAAGTAAAGAAGTTGCTGATAGAAATTGTGAGCAACATTGTGAAGCAGCATCAGGAGGCGCGGAAAAAGGTGACCGATGACGACGTGAAGTTTTTCACAAGCATTCGTCCCATGGGGCCAGCAAAACCTAATAATGTTGGTTAAAATGGACCTTCTGCTATCGATTTTCATTCTTTTTTTTTTTTTTTTCTTATATATATATATATACATATATGGTCAAAATGGATAAAGAAGAGACGAAGTTAACTGGTTCCTATTTTTATGCCTTTGTGTTGGCTGACTGACGAGGAAAACAAGGGAGTTTTTTTCTTTTTTCGGCTGTGTTCTTTGGTGTCTTTTGTTGCTTATGTTTTTTCTCTCTCTCTTTCTCTGTGTTTGTGTTGTTGGGCATGCCTGTAACTCCTTGTGCTCTTTTTTTTTTTCTTTGAGAGAAGAAAAGGGTGAGGGTGAGGCGGGAGTGGAGGGAGGGGGGGGCGCGCAGGGTACTTCATGTCGGTATGGCGCAGGTGGCACATGGACGCTGTTACCGAGTGGAGGTCCGCAGCGTGCCCTTGTCTCGTTCGCTTTGCGCATGGGTGGCCGAGGGAGGCAGCACACGCGGGAGGCTCGCCGGCGAAGTTATTTTCTTCGTATTGGGCGAATGTTGCTTCACTGAGCGATCGGGAGCGGGATTTTTTTGTTCAATGCGTGGAGTACATTCGTTACGGCGTGGACATGAGCCCGACGCCATCGGTGGCGCGAACGGTGAATCGCTTGGCGGATGTTGTGGTTGCCGGGTGCGTTGGATCCGGCAAAGCCGCGGAGGGTGTGACGGACACGATATGCGATGTTGTACTGATGCCCGATGGCAGGCCGTGCATGGGGTGGTTCTTGGACGGGTTTGAGTTGTGTCACTACTCGGCTGTTGTAGCGGCGATGGAGGAGCGTTGGCGTGTTTCTGCAGGCTCCTTGTGGGCACTAAAGGAGCGTGGCATTACCGCACAGCTGAATTCGATGACTGCGTGGAACAGGCAGGAGAGTCTTTTCGGCGCATCGGAGGGGTGGACCGCGGAAAGAATGCGTGCCTGCGTCTCGAGACACGTGCGCTTCGCGGATAGGTACACATCCTGCACGGAAAGAAGTATCGACAGGACGCATCGTTTATCCTTGTCATTTTTGTCCTCATCCACGAACACGACTCAGGAGCTTTTTTTATTGGCACTGAAAAACTGCATGACATCCGTAGAGGAACTGAATTCCAAAAACAGCAACGCCACTTATTCGACGCTCTGCCGTTCCTTTGGCTGTTTGTTGACGTTGAATATGCCACAGTTTGTAGAATTTCGTTCCCGTGTGCAAGCGCTTGGTGTGGCACTGTGCGCCCCAAAGTGTGAGGATGCAATATCTCAGGCGTACCAGAGTCTTGTGCGAGATGCATTGGACGTCGTGAATGGAAGAATGCCTGCGCCGCCTGCGTCTTCTGTTTGCTCCGCATTGACTAGCGCCGTACGCAAACTTCTCTGTGACTTAACCGATGTGGAAAAAGCACTGGCATGGTTTCCAAGGGTTGTTGCACTCTGCCTTGTGGCTGTTACTCCGTGTGGAAGAGACGAAGGCATCCGCTCTGCAGTTCTTGCGCTCCCTTCAATCGAGAAGTACCTGGACGCGTGTGAGGCCGCTCTTTTGCAACAACATCTTTCTTTTGAGAAGCCGAGGGATGTAGACGGGGAAGACTCCTCTCGGGGTGATTTGGGTCTGGTGGACAGTACAGCGTTGGATCGTGTACTCTGTGGAGAAGCCTCCGCTCTCATCCTTGGCGATGACGAGGTCGCTGGAACGGGTCCGTTTTGTCCCGACATTAGTGGGGCGTGGATGCCAGGTGTGGGATTCGATTCATCGTTTTATGTGTCGAATCTTCTCGCCGCCTGCGACGCACTTGCAGGCATGCTTGGCGTGACGGAGTCAATTCAATCTGCACAGTCGGAGTCTCAGCGGGCTGTGCATCGGTTTCGACACAAACTTCGAGTACATGTTCTTCGTCGATTTGGATTTGTGAATGCCTCGAAGTTGTGGGGGACTCCGTTTAGTGGCAGGGCGCTGCCTTTTTTAAACGCTCTGTACGTTTCTTTGCGTCCCTCAGAAAACATTGCGGTATTTCGCTTTAGAAATGATGCGCAAATGCCGCACCCTTTTGATGCCGTTGGGGAGCCTTCTCCCCTGTTGCAGTCCTTTGTGACAAAACACCTTGCGGTTCCTGGATCATCTCCCTGCTTCTTTGCGGAGTGTGGCACAGTGCAGGAGCTGAGGGCGTTGGCGGCTGAGACGGAGACGGAGACGAAGAAGACTCTACGGTGCTGCTTTGCACCAAGCGCTTCGGGGAGAATCTTTTCTCTTGAATTTGTCCCGCGTGATCAACTTTTCTCTGATCTGGCGGCTGCCGCAACGATTCGGCTTGAGAAGGCGCCTGAATCTCGATTTGTGGACGTGGCCGCTCATGTGGAGGAGGGTCGAATTGTTGTGCGTTTGATAAATGAGCCTCATTGCTTGTGAAATAGCGGCGGTGTGTGCTTCACCCTTTGTCGACTCTGCTGTGTGCATTGTTTGTGTTTCTCTCTCTCTCTCTCTCTCTCTCCCTATGTATACATGTCATCTGGCCGGGCGGAGGAAGCTGATTTCCGTGCGCTATTTAACTGCGTCTCCCCACCCTTTATTTTTTTGTATTGGAAGAGTCACATCTGTCAAGCAGCAATGCGGGCGCTCAGGCTTTGTGGCAGCCGCTCCTTCACGTTTGTCGTGGGTGCGGCGCAACTCACGGTGGTGCGGGCGTCGTTTCGTCGTTTCTCACGGCAGGAAATCGTTGAGGCCGGAGAGCGGGCCGATGACACTGCCGGCGATGACGCCATGTTAAGCACCGCTCTGCCTGCATCTGCGGAGGACACGTTTGCCGGCGAGTTTGACGAGCTCGAGGCGGCTTCGCAGGAAATACACGACCTCTGCTTTGCGATGATCAGCCACCTGCGGAAGGTCGACCCGGACGAGACGGAAGCTCTTTTCGAGAAACGCTGCGCCCGTCGGTTTCGCGAGACAATTCATGAGAACAAACGGCGATTGCTGCACGGGCACGGGTCGCGGGGCCTTCGCCGCATGAACTGCTACCGAACAAGACGGGAGTATGAGGAGGCGACGCAGCTTTTTTTTCAGTTTGGAGAGAAGCTGTTGCTGCTTCTCACCAAGCCGGTTATGGACCGAATTGTGGAATCTGCTGGAAGGAGCTGCAGGGTGCATCGCTCTGACGGCGTTCACAAGTACCGAATGCCTTTAGAACGAGCGAGTTGGCGCGGTTTTCCATATCGATGGTTTAAGCACGCGCCCTTTGAAGTTCAGCAGCTCCGTGCCGACATGCCGGAGGTGGCGGTGAAAAATACGAGGACGATGCGGGATATTTCCACCCTACGCTCCTTGTTTACGCTCATGGAGCCACAGCACCCCTTTAGGTCTACTCTTGAAAGCCGCCTTTTCGAAATTACGCGAGAGTATGATGCTGTACAGAAACCTCTTAAGAGAGGTGACTTCCCCTCCCTTCCTGCACAGTCATCGTGAGCGATTTGTATACAAAAAATGGCGACGCAGCGTAGTTCTTTTTCTTTCTCTCTCTGTCTCTACATATATATTTGTATGTACATCGTATTTGTGTGGATATTTATACGGTTCCATTCTTTTATTTTTTGGTTTTTTTTTTCTGGCTGTGTGTATATCATTGTGATTCTTTTATTATTATTATTATTATTATTATGCATTTGTAGTATGCGCTCTGTTATGCAAGTGTGGCGATGTAGTGTGCACAACGTACTGACCGCTGCGTTGTGCATGCAGTCTCGGATGCGAACTGGAGGAGGCCCAGGCGATCGACGGATTCGCACTGACTGGTACCGCTGTTATCCGTCACTCATGGAGGAGAGGGAGCGTGATATGTATCACTGCTACTACCCATACCTGTTTGATCATGGGGACAAGATGAGTCTCTATCCCAAAATACCTGATAACCCGAGAATGTGGCAACCCGAGCAGCTGCAGACGACATATGACGCTATTCGAGAGGACAAGTACGATGCCTTTATTCGTCTCCGTGAGAAGTTTCCCGAGTTGTACCAAGATACCCGTGCTTGGGACAATCCCCCACCGTTTGGCGAGTTCAACATGTTTTATTCGGTGAGGTTTGGCATGGTTGGCGTAAAGGCCTTCACATGCAAAGACTACGACGAACTGGGCAACCAATTTGATTGCACCGCATTTTGGTTTCCTGACAACCAGATCGTCCGGCACAGCACACGAAACGGGGATGTAGGGACAGACAGGGTGTATGTTGGGGCAATGAATGTGCCTGTGGAATTCCACAAGCCGCATGTGGCGGCCTTCTACAAGGCAGCTGGCGTGCCTGTGAAGCATGTGTGTGCTGGATTCCCAATCACTCCCGACGCCTACGCTCCTGTGGGCACAAAGTTGGATGTCCGTCACTTCAAGCCAGGCCAGGAAGTGACCATTACATTTCAAAACACGGATTATGGCTTTCGGGGCGTCATGTTTCGTCACGGTTTTGATGGTGGCTACGTGTGGCTAGGCGATTCCAAGTGGCAGCGTCGCCCTGGGTGCATGGGCACAGAGGGGCAGAAGCGTATCTACCCGGGTCACCGCATGGCAGGCCAAACAGGCGCCTCCGCTGAGACATACCAAGGTGTGCCTGTCTGGCGTATCGATTACAAAAACGCTCTTATTTACCTTCCAACGCTCATTGATGCGGATGTTGGCACATATGTGAAGTTTAGCGACACGATCAACACAAAGGGCTACACTCTGTGGAACGAACACCGGGGGCTTCCCGCATTTCCAACTTTCATTCCTTCTGAGGAGGAGGATCTGTCAAAGCTGTCAACGGACGAGTGCCAACTTATGAGCCCCCCGCTGTACATGTACTTCCGGGATGAATTTGCGGCGTCGCAGTTGGTTTCTCAGGCGGATGTGGAAGACGCCAAGAGCGCCAGGCCGACGACAGCAGCTCCAAAGAAAAAGGTGTACGATATGAAAAAATACTTTGAGGCGCGTAAAAAGTACCGGCAGAACCTGCAGAAGGCAAGAAAAGTAAAGCTCATGAGTCTGCGAACCAGGGCGCACGAGAAGCAGGAAGAGGCGCGTCGTGCGAAGATTTTGAAATACAAGCGTGTCAAGTAGAGAGTGTTGGAATCCCTGACGTCTCGGCGACTCTGAGAGGGGAGAGAAAATGCCCACGACACAAACAA